GGGGCATTGCGTGCGACAGCGTCATACCTTTGCCCACCGAAAAGTGGGCGAAGTCAGCTTCGAAACCGCTTTCTCAGGGGAAATGCAAAGATGCGTGAAATGCAAATTCGAAGTAAACGTGTTGACAATTGACCAATTTCGATGTATTAAAATTCAGCTTAGCACAGTAGACCCCAGCAGGAGGCTCCGGGGAATAACCACAAGGTTTGTGGGGTTTACTCCCAAGAGCCTCGTGCTGAGGTCTATTGTGTTAGGCTGAATTTTAAGATATCGAAATTGGTCTATTAAACAATTAGATTATGAGCTCGAGGTTTCTATCACGCATAGAAATCGAGAGCGAACAATCTAATTGTTTTGGTATAAATCTACTAGTCGTTCAAAACTTTATCCAAATCCTCTTTACAGACACTTCGAAAACGCCAACAAGCGGCCGTCATTTTGTTAACAAGGGCACACTGCTACGCTACTCGCTATCAAACACAGAATAGAAAGCGGGTGGCGTAGCCAATCAGAGAACGGCATTCGTGATAGAACGCTAGTAGATTTTTACTAATACAAAATATTTATTGAGCCATATAGACCCTTCGAACGGCGCCTGAATATGAGTAACAATACTTATACATCCTAAGCCTCGCATTCATGTGAAAAATCCTTTGCCTGGTAACAAAAATACCCGGCTAAGGATGTATGAAGTATTGTTATTCAAATCTAGGCACCATTTGCACAAAGGGTCTATTGCTTTTCCACCCATTCGTTTGTCAAAAACTTATTCATTTATAACGTCATAACTTACTAAACCCTTCATAAGGAACTCTAATGAGACAAATACAGAAGAAGGATCGTTTTATGACTGAAAACGTTTGATTCTTCGCTTAAGTAATTGACGATCATGGAGCGGGGTATTTCGAGTACGGGCCGGTTCTACTTTGGTCTAATTGTTATTCAATGCTCATTTTGCATTGAATCGCAGCCATCGTACCTTTAACTTTGAATACTTTATTTTTGATACCAATCTTTTATAACAGGACATTATCCCTCACTGCAATGGTTTTGTCACCAAGCCAACTCCTATTTTTCCAAAACCGCGGGAACCTTACGTACAAACATTGTCTTATTTTTGTCGAATTTCAATTAGATACCTGGAAAGGGATTTTTTTGTATACAAAAA